AAAATATCGAACCCAATTGGTAAAGGTAAACCAGGGAAAGAACATGGGAAGAGGAAGGTTTGTTTGTTTGGAATTTTGTGCAAAGCTACACAAAAGCTATCTGTGCTAGCCATCCCTAATTTAGCAGTGAAACACTAGAGTAAAGGCAGCTAGTCATCACCACCAACTCTTGGGCTACTCTTTTACCAACGAATAATGAGATTGATTGTCACATTATAATGTCACCATGGCTGACAGGGCGAGCATGTTTAGTGGGGTGGAGATTCGTACCCGTGACCCTCAGTTGAATAACCACCTGGCCATACTGAGCCTTGGTAAGAGGAATATTGCGAAGTGCTAAAAAGGTGGGAATGAGGATCTCTGAGGGAAGCTGTTGGAGCAATATAACAATGGAGGGCACAGACAGGACAAATGAGTCTATATGGATCATGATGAGGTTAGAGACAAGATATAGAGGATAAGCAGATAGGGGAAAAGGAGGACTGACCTTCTCGAACCACAGAGGTCTTAGGAAGAAAGGCATGATCCAGATAAAGGTCAAAGTAGGAAGAGTGGTACAAGGTCCTGGTAACATTGAGGGTGAAAATATCTGAAGTACGATACCCGCAGGCCAGGAAGAGGAGGAAAGGTGAAACAGGGACCATGTATACAGAAGTTTGAACAAAAGTAAAGTAAGGGCACGAAGTACCATGTTAATGTCCTAGTCCAAAAGCAACGCAAGCCTCAGTGGCCAATGGAGCCAGAAGGAATGGATCAGCATGGAAAGAACAGGGGAAGCTAAGACCCTACAGAAACGGGAAAAACTGAAAGTATGGGATAACGCCACCCAAAACCCTGAAATCTAGGAGACCAAAGAATCCCTCACAAAGAGCCACATGAGAAACATAGAGATACAAGAAACTAATGGGTGAGAAGCCTGGAAACCCGAGTCAATACCCAGGAGCAAAAAATTCTCCACTTGCATTGATAGATGACCAAAAAAGAAGGGCGAATGGAAGGGGCTAAATTTGAAGCTACTCTGCAAGAGAAACCAGAACTCCTTGCCAAAAACCTGACAAAAGAAAGGCATGAAGATGGAGGATGGACGAAACAGGATGGAGCGCCAGTGACTGGGGTTGATTGAGAAGGTTGGGATGGAAGGAAAGAGACCACCTGCAAATGAAGCAACTGAGGGAACCAAGGTTGAGCGGGCCAGTAAGGAGCAATCAGAAGGACTGTGCACAGAGTGGCATGGATGAGGGATACCACTCAATGATAAAAATGGATGAGAGGGTAAACATAAAGGAACATATGAGACCAATCCTGGCTGAAAGCTTCAACAGAAAGGCTCAAGGATGGGGAAACAGGGACCAAAACCAAGGTAATTTGTGATTGAGGGCAGTGGCAAAGGCATTGATATGGGACATACCCAAATGCAGACAGAGCCACCAAAAAATGGCAGGATGTAGGAACCACTCCATGGTATAAACGTGATCCAGTTGGGAAATATGATCAGCTATGAGATTGAAAGCATGCAGTACATGACATGCCATCAAATGAATTCAATGCGAGTTGGCCCAATAAAGAAGATCCATAGTTCAAAAACACAAGGATCTGGACCTGGTGCCACCTTGGTGATTGATATAAGTTACCACAGTGTAATTGTTGGAATGGATCATAACCAGCCGGCAGCTGGCAAGAGAAATAAAATTATCCAAAGCCAGACAAACATCCAGGAGTTCGAGAACATTGATGTGAAGAGAACTCTCCTCTACAGACCAACAACCTGAAACCTCTGGTGATCCACCCAGACACCCTAGCCCTGAAGGGATGAATCCGTGAACAGAAGTAAATCTGGCCAGAGGAGGATGCAGGACCCCCGCTGACGTGTGGGATCATCTACAAGTGATGAGGGAAGGAATATAAAAGTATCCAAGGGATCCCAGGTGAGGTTCTATTGATCGTGGAGGGCCCATTAAATTATCTGCATATGGGCTCTATGCGGGGGTATGAGAGGGGTCATAGAGGACCACATCCCCAAAAGTTGTAAATGAGGGAACAGAAAGGGCTTTCAAAATGGCCATAGAATGGAGTCAGAGAGAAGAAATTTGGGGCCGAATGAGATGGGTGTTGAAGAAAACACCCAAATGGACAATATATTGGATAGGAAGAAGGAAAGACTTCTCCAATTTGACCAACCAGCCCACCTGTGCAGCTTCGGCCAGAAGCTGACGAATATGACATGCTGATTCCCATTTGGAATGAACAAGAAGAAGCCACTTGTCCATATAAACATGGAAGTGCAAACTCATAGCATGAATATGCCGAGTAAAGGAGTGGACCACACGACAAAACACGTAGGGTGCTGAGGCTAGGCCAAAAGGTAAAGTGAAAAACTGGTACACAATCCCCTGATAGACAAACCTAAGATATGGACAGGAATGCTCCACCACAGGAATGTGTATGTATGTCTCAATGGTAAAGCAAGGAGTGTGAACATACTGATTGAGAGGGGATAAATCGATGACAGAACGCCAGTCCCCAGTCGTCTTGGGAACCACAAACAGGTGGGAATAAAATCCCATGAACTTGGTGGAGTTGGTTTGATAGTCTCTTGTGTGATGAGATCTTGAACTACCTCTGACAGATGCTGGCATGTCGAAGGATCCTGAGAAGAAGGGAAGGTAATGGGAACACTGGATAAGGGAAGAAGGTACAGAAAGGGCATAACATATCTTTCCGAGAGCACTCTGTGAACCCAAACATCAGTGAGAGAAGGTCCCCACTGATGAACAAAATTCAAGAGATGAGCCCCCACTGAGCACGAACCAACAATGTTGTCACCAGTACTGCTATTGGTAGATCGTTCATCATAGTGTAAATCGTCGAACCATGGCACAGTGGGAGGGTGGGAAGGGGAAGGTCGAGACAGGAACAGGTGCCACACTCAGCCCTGTCTGCAACAAAGGAACTACCAAGTTATTAAGGGTAGAATGTTGATGGACTGAGGCCACCAATGACTCCAAAGACTCAGGAACCGAGTCAAACACATAATGCAGCAAAAAGGCGCCATGCGGAGGTCCCTCAGAAAAGGACCCTGGAGACGGGTCATGCAAAAACTGTGTCACAGTCAGAGAGGTCCCAACAACAAACAAAACATGTTTGAAGCACGAGAGCTGAAGACGACAAATGATCCAACGTAGTAGTAAGGATGGGGAGGATTTCAGCAGAAAACCCCCAGGGTTCCTGTCAAGAACCTCTAACAGAAGGTGAAGGGAGAAAAGGTACCTTAACAGGATTGTGAAGGTGAGAAAATTGGACTTGGGTAAGTTGGACAGGGTAATCTTGGTTCACCCCACAAACAAGTAAAACTGATCCCAACAACTGTTGGTCAGGAAAGGGAAAGTCAGCCAGATGATAAGCAAGAGCAGACTGATCTGAAGTCTGTGGGGGATGAGGCATACTAACATCCTCTCCCAGTTCAGAGGCAAATTGGTCCATGTAAACCCCTAATATCGGGGAACAGGGAAAGACTAAATAGGGTCAGGAAGTTGTTTTGTGTAAGAGGGAAAGTCTAGAGTCATAGGAAACAGGTGTAAGAGGCAAAACATCACATACCTGAGAGATCATGTCTAGAAAGACCAATGACGGACGAGCTGAATCATCAGGTAATGAATGGGAAGGGGCAACAAACTTGGGGGGAGGGCAAACGAGCAAAATCGGCTCAAAAAGTTCAGGACAGAAGAAGGTGAGAGAGGTTGGCTCATATGCCACTCAGTCTCCCAGCAAATGAGCAATGATATATCCCCAACAGGTTGTCCATGCACGTGGCTGAAAATATGGCATCAAACAAAATACCTGAAGTGATGACTGTAACTTCGAAACTCATAAGCAGGAAAAAGCAACAAACTAAAGTAATGCTTTAATAAAAATATTAACTCCACAACTGTGAAGTGTAGTAAATAAAGTTATGAAAAATATAAAAAATAAATTACTTCAAGGTAAGTGAACAATGTAAGAAAGAATGTCTGAACTCAACAGCTGCCAAACAAGAAGTGATAATTTGGTAGTGGCGCATAGAGGGAGTCATATGCGTCACTTGATAGTTGTGCTCTCCTATTGGTGGAGAGATGACGCATGATGATTTGTATGGAAGACTTGTTGGAACTTCAACAGAGGGATGATGAAGGCTTGTGGCATGCATTTCTGAAAAAGTTCGCAAACAGAGGGCAGCACAAAACGAGAAAAGCTTGCTAATCTTGTGAGAAGAGAGAGAGAGTACTTCATAGTAATAAACTTACTGAATGACATAAAATATCAGCAAAAGATAGTGTGATGAATTGAATGGTTTAATTTTCATTGTAATGGTCCATTTTGACAGATCCTGTAAGTGAACTCAAGTGTAAAAATATTTCATATTATTACTTGTGTATCTTGTAGTTACTTTGTGGTATATAGTACAAAAGCTCCTTGATCACTAGGTCCTAATCAGTATGAAAATAAACACAAACTCTAAAACTATCATTTAATCCACCACTTGTCATTAATAGATTGAATTTGATACTTATATTTAGTATTTTAAACAAGTTATATGCTTAATAATTCAGAAGAATAAATTAATAACATTAGTATTATTAAAATCTTATATAAACACACGTTCACTGTAGTGAGTAAAAAACAACTCAAAGTGCCATTACTAGACGCGAGTAAATCTCTAATTTTTCACTGGAAGTAACCAAAGGCCCAAATCTATTACAGACTGGTGCCAGAATGATTGCTAAAACTGTTTCTATAGCTTTAACTTTTCTAACTACCTTGCACCCTCATAAACTAAGTAATTTCATTCTCACCAAACCTTTACCCTAACTCTATCCATTTCCTGTCTTGCTACCTTCATCTACTATTGTTCCCACAGCTACCTCTATCTTCAAGCAAAGAATGTGACAGTATGTAAATCTAACTATTAGTATAACAACTGCTTACAAATGAATCAATCTTTAACTCTTTTTTTGATAATTTACCTGTGCTATTAAAACTGGAAGAACTTCGATCAGCTGATTGACAGTAGCTGTCGACACAACTTCAGATATACTTGGGTGTGGTGCTAACTTTTGCAAAATAGTTATGGCAAGATGGCGTTCCAAAGGTCGTGTTGTTTCAGACCACAGAAACACTATCAAGGAACTGATAACAGGCTCTACATCTTCAAGAAAACTTGAGAAAGAAAGATTAATGGACATAAATCCTAATCTATCATGTCAGAAAAACAGTGTCAGTTGATGAACATAAATCATAATCTAAAATATCAGTTAAACATTGTCAGTTGATGAACATAAATTATAATCTACTGTATCAGTTAAACAGTGTCAGTTGATGAACATAAATTATAACATATCATATCAGCTAAACATTGTCAGCTGATGAACATAAATCATAATCTATCATATCAGTTAAACAGTGTCAGTTGATGAACATAAATTATAATCTATCATATCAGTTAAACAGTGTCAGTTGATGAACATAAATCATAATCTATCATATCAGTTAAACATTGTCAGTTGATGAACATAAATCATAATCTATCATATCAGTTAAACAGTGTCAGTTGATGAACATAAATCATAATCTATCATATCAGTTAAACAGTGTCCGTTGATGAACATAAATCATAATCTATCATATCAGTTAAACAGTGTCAGTTGATGAACATAAATCATAATCTATCATATCAGTTAAACAGTGTCCGTTTATGAACATAAATCATAATCTATCATATCAGTTAAACAGTGTCAGTTGATGAGCATAAATCATAATTTTTTGTATCAGCTTAATAGTGTCAGTTGATGAACATAAATCATAATCTATCAGTTAAACTATGTCAGTTGATGAACATAAATCACAATCTATCATATCAGTTAAACAGTGTCAGTTGATGAGCATAAATCATAATTTTTTGTATCAGTTTAATAGTGTCAGTTGATGAACATAAATCATAATCTATCAGTTAAACTATGTCAGTTGATGAACATAAATCACAATCTATCATATCAGTTAAACAGTGTCAGTTGATGAACATAAATCTAATTTTTTTGTATCAGCTAAACAGTGTCAGTTAATGAACATAAATCATAATCTATCATATCAGTTAAACAGTGTCAGTTGATGATCATAAATCATAATCTATCATATCAGTTAAACAGTGTCAGTTGATGATCATAAATCATAATCTATCATATCAGTTAAACAGTGTCAGTTGATGAACATAAATCATAATCTATCATATCAGTTAAACAGTATCAGTTAATGAACATAAATCATAATCTATCATATCAGTTAAACAGTGTCAGTTTATGAATATAAATCATAATCTATCATACCAGTTAAACAGTGTCAGTTGATGAACATAAATAACAATCTATCATATCAGTTAATGAACATAAATCATATTACAACTGATTATTCCAGACATAACAGTGTCAGTTGATGAACATAAATCATATTACAACTGATTATTCCAGACATAACAGTGTCAGTTGATGAACATAAATCATATTACAACCGATTATTCCAGACATAACAGTGTCAGTTGATGAACATAAATCATATTACAACCGATTATTCCAGACATAACAGTGTCAGTTGATGAACATAAATCATATTACAACCGATTATTCCAGACATAACAGTGTCAGTTGGTGAACATAAATTATATTACAACCGATTATTCCAGACATAACAGTGTCCCTTTTCTAACTGCTTACAATGTTATTTTCTACCTACCTCTTGTGTCCCACCTTGTTGATTAATTTTTTCTCTCTTTCCCTCTCTCTCTATCTATCTTCTATAAATATATATATATATTTGTATGTATGTTATGCACTTGATTGGCCCATTTTATTCTACCTTCCAAAGTGAAATAAATAAAGCCAGGAGTCACCAGTATGTTTTAAGTTTGATGATAAGGGAGAGAACTAAGACTAAAATTAACAGCAAGGATTTTTTTTTTAAGTATGTTAACAGTAAGCAAACTGCTGAAAAGTGGATTGGGCCCTAAAGGATGGTGATGACAAGATTTTTATTGAAGACTGCGAGATGGCCAAGCTTTCAAAAGTTATTTTCTTTAATGTTTTTTTCAAGGATATTCGAGACTCTGAACAATCTAGAAAATATTGGAATTAACATGAATCAACTATTTATTCCTTTGTGTAAGGTAAAATCTATTTAAACAATAAAAATGGGTAAATCTAAAATAAAGGTAATTTTTTTCCCAAGGTTTTAATGTAAACATCTCTTTTATTTTTTGTAGGTCAGCAGACAGATGCCCATGGAATGCAGAGTCACTAATTTTATTTGTGTTTTTAAAGAAGGTGATAAGAGTTCCTGAGAAATTAAATGGCCAGTTAGTCTTACTTCTGTAATGTGAAAAATTCTAGTCTGATAAATAAGAAGCCTTGCAAAATCACTTAAACAAAGTCTAGTATAAAAGAGAGCCAATACAGGATCACTACAGATCTTACTTTACTAATCTGTTTCTTTTTTTTTTTTTCTGGAAGATGTTACTAATCTGGATGATATGTGGATGTGGACTAGTGTACTTAGGTTTTTAAAAAATAATTTGATAAGGTGCCACACCAAAGATTAACTACGAAAATGACAATAGTAAGCATTGTGAAAAGAATGGTTACACAGATTGTAGGATGGAGGGGGGGGGGGAGAAAAGGCAAAAAGTTGTTACTGGAGTCCAATGAAACTGAACCTCTATTACTAGTACTCTAGTACATGCCTTAGACGTGAGTAATTAGATTTTTGCTTTTTCATATTTACATTAATTAACACTAGTTTGACCTCACTCACAAATACTGTTAAATTTTGGCCTCCTTATTTATGAAGGGTTACTGATTTATTGAAAAGGATTCAGTCAAGAACTACTTCTGTGATTCTCCTGGTGATGGAAACTTAATGCTAAGTAAAGATCACTTATATTCTCGAGAGAAAACAGTAACAACAGGTGTTGTTACTGAAGCACTCAAATTATCCACAGGATCAACAATACGAAGGCCCATTTTCTGAAGCTATAGGATGAGAAGACTTAAAGAATTTGGAAAGATAGGTTAGCCTCCAGATAAGTTTTAATATTGTTATTTTTCTAACAGGGTTATTGACATATGATTTATAAACTAAAGTGAGTTACTGTTTTAATTTAACTTTTAAGTGTTTACAGCAGGAGAGTTTTTACTCACATTACTAGTTTTAGAGACAAATTTTCTTGTGCACCTACCAATGGCAAAAGTAAAAATTTAAACCCAAGTCATCGAATCCCCTTCTAAGTCGAACAGTGCTGGTAAAGATTTTTTCAAGTACTGACATAGCCCAGTATTTACTACAGTCTACAGTAACATTAATTGATTAAATTTAATTTTAAATGATTAAGTTATTAACAACAACAACCTGAATAGGCACATCTTCAATCACACTTACTCAGATGATTTAACATCTTTGTCACTTATCGTCTTTAAAAGTGTTCTGAGAACTTGTTTGTTCAACTGTTTCGGAATGTTAATTTCCTTCCAAATAAATTCAGACGATAAAGAGCTAACTGAAGATCGTTTCGAACTCGCCATCGCTGCCATTATGAAACGCTTATTTCCTCCCGCTGCAATTTTCACATTATATGCTATGTAAAAATACGATGTAAACTGTATCTTAGGAAACTTTTCAGTATATCCTAGATTTCTCAACCATATTAATCAAATAAATTCACAAAATAAAACGGAAATAATATACAGCACAGAGGAGAGCAAGATAATGTTATCCTTTTAATTACTGTTAGATGTATGCTCCTAAAACTTTACAGACCTACATTGGTTTCGGGTTTTGGTTAAAGTCTTTAATCGTAAATTAGGCCTAGAAACGAAATCAGTGTACATTGTGCCCAGGTTCATGTTCTTTATTTTTCCTTGATAAAAAAACAAAAAAGATTTATGTCAACTTTTGCAGAAACTTAAGTGGAAAAAAGTGTTTGTGTTCAGTAATGACGGACAAAATTAGGATTTTTACTTATGCTGTTGGTGCAACGTTGTTTTCAGAATTGCTCTATATATTGTGGTTGAGGTTTAAGCACCGTCATATGAACACAGTCAACAAAACAGATATTCAGCTTGGTACTGATAGGAATTCGAGGTCTAATACCAGTATTATACTAAATGTAGACTTTAACGACCAAGAAGTTGGATCTAGTTATAAACCCATGAACAAAGTTCTTATTTTTCCTGATCCTGGTATTACATGCAAGAGGCTAATACTAAATGGAAGATGTGCTTATTCAAATTGTCAGTTTTTGCATAAAAAAACATCTTTATATTACTTGACGAAAATGCTTAGTACAGCTAAGACAAAAATGGATGTCTGTGTGTATATGATGATGTACAGCGTTCTTGGAGATAGGATTGTTGATGCCCACAAGAAGGGCATCGTTGTTCGAGTTATAACTGATGGTCAGATGGGAGATGTGCCATCTTCTCAAATTGGAAGGTTTCGTGAAGCAGGTATCTATTTTGTACACAAGTTTACTGTTTTTAGTTTTATTGTTAAGCTAATGAAGTTATGATCAATACCACTAGGCTTTTATCATTAATATTTGGAATAAATGTTTCTGTTTGGCCCAAGGAACAAGTTGAAAACTTAAACCCAAATTTTGCCAAATTGTTAAAACTGTTTATTTGTTTAACATAATATTTTCCTAATAATTTGGGACAACATGGGACCTATTGGTCCATCATGGCTGTTCCATCCTCAAAACTAAATTAAAATGATTAAAACAAATAAAATAAAAAAAATAAACCCAGCCCTTTTCATTCATATAATTATCAAACTTTTTCTTAAAGTCACTTCAATTTACTGCCTCTACAGCATTCGAAGGCAACCCATTCCAAAGGTCAACCACCCTGTCAGAAAAATAAAACTGTCTCAGCTGAAGATGACTCCTACCTTGCCAAATTTCATATTTGTGTCTCCTAGTCCTACCGTTCTCACCATTAAGTATGAAAAGAGATGATGCATCAACACTATCAATTCCCTTAACAATCTTAAACACATCAATCAGATCCCCCCAACTCTTTTTTTTTCAAGAGAAAACAGTTTGAGAGATTTCAGCCTCTCCTCATATGACAACCCCTCCAGGCACCATTCTAGTGACCCTTCTCTGAACCCTTTCCAACAATTCAATGTCCTTCCTACGGTAAGGAGCCCAAGACTAAACACAATATTCCAAATGTGGCCGAATCAGTAACCTGTACAATG